GTTCTAAAGGGTTTAAAGCTGCCACACAGAAAAGTTTTCTGGAGCTTACCACATGTTTTTGTACCCAGTTTTCAAAGCAGGCTTAGACATGCAAGCCAGAGATTTGCTTGGAGTCACTGAGTTCCTAAATCACCAGCCACTAACGTATTCCAGAACAGTTCTCTGTCCTCAGACTACTCTTCTCCTGCCTTGTAGCAGAATGGCTGGCTAATTACCAAGTGGAAAAAATTTGGTCTTGATCCTCACCCAAGCCCAGATTAGTGCAGAGAATAGATCAGCTCTTAGCCAGGAGCACATCAGGTGCCAGCATCTTAGCAGAATGGGCTCTTAGTCTTTGCCCTTCAGTAGCCTGTCTTAAGAGCATGGATAATATCTGTCTCTTATTAAAGACAAGAAGTGCTCAGACCGTATGGTTGTGGGAGCTTTTAAGAGTGTGAGTCAGATCATCAGCTGTGCAAGGTGCATGCCAGGCTGCATAAGGAAGTGCTTTCTCAAGCTGCTCTCCTTAGAGGTACAAAGCTGCTAATAGTGCTGTACCAGCTGTGTCCCTGGTTCTGAGAAAAACCTGCCATGTATCAACCCAGTTTAAATACCCAGCATAAGCCCTTAATAGCAACTGTAACGCCTGCTCTGTCCTCTTTCAAATGTTTCCGGATACATCTCCTGCACAGATCATGCCTGCAGGGTTAGTGGTCAAACTGTAGTATAGGTGCCTAAAACCAAATGCACGTGTTATCTTTGATTCTCTAAATCCTACAAAACCAGTCATGTAGAAAATGGTTAGCCTGGAGCACGAAGGATGGAAGCAAAAGGCTGTTAATCTAAATGGGATATGTTAATATTTGGATAATAATATATCTCTGAAGACTAGGAGGAGTTGTGGTCTTTTCTAAAGATGATGTCATTGTCTATGTTTGGCTTTGCCTAAAGAACAGAACATACTGGATAGAGGAGCAAGGACCTGCTAGTGAACTAGAAGTGGTGTCATGGCGGCTTGCAGATGAGTGCTTACTCCAGAATTTGCAGTGGCAATGCAATGGGTTCTTTCTAGTCCAACCAGCTACTCCAGATTCTGTCACGTTAACCACAAAATCATTTAAAAAAAAAAAAAAAAAAATCTCCTTTTGGTTGGGAGTTTTCTTCAGCCGTTTTCACAGTAGGCTGTTTGTTGCTGGTTTCCCTGGATGAACAGTGAGCTGTGTATATCTTGTAGCTTTTGCAGTTCCCTGGCTATTGAGTCATCAAGGCCTGGATGACTTACTTGCACTGAACCCCCTTGTAAGCAGGCCTATCCCCTCTTTGTTCTTTTTTTATTGTGTCTTGTCTTATTGTCTAGAGAAAAATGCTCGGTAGCCTTGTGCTGATGAATTAGATGAGTACTGCCTAATTCTGAACAGCTGCTCCAGCTTTAAGTAGGATTGGCCCCTGTGCAGAAGGTAGTGCTTTAAGATAAGGTGTTTCCAATAAACTTAGATGAGTCCATGCAAAAGGCTTTGTGTAGGTTCCTGGTGCTATTTGCAGCAGATCTTATTTTGTTAGCTACAGCCATGTAGGAACATGTTTCAGATATACTGAAACAAAATGTTTAAATCGGTATATATGAAGAGGCTTTGTCTTCACTTTAAGGCACTTTTGAGACTTTAATTGCACTGCTCATTCTTCACGATCAGTGGAGACATCGGTCAGACCAACCAGGAAAGTCTGGTTCCCACATGAATCCGACCAGGAGATGGCAGCATTGATGCATGCAAGGAGTATCCAAAAGTTAAAACACTTTTCCCTGAACTGACAAGAGGAAAAAAATTACCTTCATTTAATTGGAAGATATACTGTCTTAGCAATACATAGATAAATGTTAACAAAATAGTCCTATTTTTAGCTTTTGTCCCTAACTGGCTAATGCAAGTCAGTAAATTAAAAATGCACTTAGGTTTGTGCCTAAATACTGGAATCACTCTTTGACCTTAATACAAGGATTTTGAAATTCAGTACTCTTTTGTTCAGAAGTGGTTATTGTATTAAAAGACTAGAAAGATAATAGATGCTAATACTGTCATTTCTGCATACCTGCTCTGTAAACTAATAATAGCTTTGCTTGTAGCTGTAAAATCAGGTTTTGTTAAAGCTTAAATCAAAAAATCCTTGAGCCTTTTGTTTCAGTGTTATTGTCTTCCTGCCCTTATAGTACATATACACGTGCACTGACATGGGGGAGAGAGTCTGAAAACTGGAGAATTGTATTACCTGACAAATAAGGAAGGAGCTTACAGGGCAGCACCCATTTTTCCCCTGAACTTGGTCTGTAGGATCTTGATTCTGTCTTTCTACTCCCATTAAAAAAAAGGGAATAACTCCTGGGTCCAGAGCTTCCTTGGAAAAATGAGCGTGGCCCCTATCAACAGGGTGCTGTTGTCTCATGCCTTAATGTCGGCCGAGGTAGCTGAGGGCCCACTGCTGTACCCTCTCCGTGGCTGGCTATGCAGATGTTCAACAGAGAGCTAATTTGTCACAGGGTCATCTCCAAAACTGGTAGGATGCACCAGGAATGGCCTCAGTTTGGCAGGCCGTATTGTGCTCTTCTGTGGCAAGCAACAGGCTACATCTGTGTGAACAGCCAAGAGATTAAAAAGCAATTTCTTCCTGGGATCTTGGTGTTTAGGGAGGTGAATGGGCTCCCACCGTGCAAGGTCACATGATTGTCTGTCTTCCATGTCTATTTGTCTAGTAGTCGATGCAGGTAGAAGCATATACGTGGACAGTTACTGCGGAACAGCCACACAATTACATCTTTCACCCTTGCTCGTGCAATTTGCTTATAGCTTTCAGATGTCTGAAAATTTAAGTATGAATTCTCTTGGTGCGGTGTTATCATACCGGTGCTGCTTGAATATATTTAGCTAAGAAAGCAAACCACGGAGATGCATGTTGTGTTCTTTTAACTTTGGCAGTGTTACCTGGAAGGCGCTTCAGTGATTGAGATCTGTGCATAATGGATTTGAGATTTTTCTGCACCCATCTGTCCCAGGTTGTTACTTTTTTTCAACCTTGTGGGCTAATAAGACACGAGTGAACTTAATCTTGCATACTTCCCTTTAGAGACCCGTGTTTGACTGACATCAAAAGACTGCTCGGATTGATATTGATAGTAAGGTACACATGTAGGAACAAACAAGGTAACACGTTGTAAGTTCAGGTGCACAGCGGAAATGTCACCGTTCAGTCTGATGTTGGCAGTTGCAGCTCGTGGCTTTTTTAGTACCAGAAGTGCCCTGTGGAGCCAATCTGACAGCGCAGCCCGGGTGACACAAGCCTTTATTTCCTTTCATAACAGCAATGTAATCACTGTTTTTGTTCTTGTGCAGCCACAGATTCCCTTGTAAATGCAAATTCAAATGGGAGAAACATCAAAGTTAATTTGAAATGAAATGCACCCCAAGTAGTCCAGGTGAAATAGAGACATTACTTTGTAGCCACCCTTCTCATGCCAAAACTGCAGCACCCCAGATGTCAGGAAGCCACGCTGCACTCTTTGTCTGGTCTTGATTGACTAGATTGTTTTCATCCAAGCCTTTTTAAAGCTTTCCTCCTGCCTCCATATTTTGAAGGAATAAAAAGCTAATATAAGGACATGGAGTGTTATGAAGCATGAAGTTCTATAAATATTTATGCTGAACTATCAAAAAACTTGACAGTTCTTATTTTCTTGACAGATTGGGGTCACTTGTTATTTTTGACCCTGAGAATCGAAGAGCACATGCAGTTAGATCTGTTTGTAATGACTTTTGGATATTGTTGTCTGGTAAACTTGTAGGAATATAACAGGGTAACGGACTTTTTCTTGGTCTCTCTGTGAAAATGGGACTTAAACCTTATACTGTGTTACCCACAAATGACCACTCAAGTTACTGTCTCTGTGCAATCTGGCAGTAAACTCCTGAACTTAAACTCTCCTTGGCACATGTGGGTTTCTGAGTTAGCAGCTTGTTTTGCCACTTCAGATGGACAGTTTTCACCTAGCTTGCTGTTGACTTGAAGTACTCGGTGATCACCTTTATGTCTAGGGACCAGGTTCGTCGCAGTGTGTTCCTGAGCCCAGCACAGGATGGGACCGAGGAAGGCTAAGAATCTGGTGAGGGCCTGTGGTGTCTCTGGTGTTTTGCCACCAGTCCCAGCACTGCTTTAAGTATCTCTGGGGCCAACTGAAGACAAACTCTTCTTAAAAGCTTAAGTGCTGATAAACAGGCATTTTCTAGAGAGATGAGAGGCTTGTAACTCTCCGACACTTCAGGATCCTCATTCCTCAAAATTATGTGCACACAAGCTTAACTCCTACCTGAAGTTGTAGTGGCAGGTGAACGTTTTAAAGTCAGGTCTGGCTTTTTCAGAAAAGCTGGAGCTTTGTGGCAGCAGCCACATTATTACATTCAGCGGCAGGGGCCTTTCTTGCCTAATAAATTTATTGTGTAGGAAAGAATCAATCCAATGATTCATCTTGAATGAAATCCAGTGTGTGTTTTAAGGTAAACGTTGAATATATTGTGTGCATCTAAAGCTAACCTGAGTGTCTCTTGCTGTCAGTCACTAGAGGGCGCAAAGGAAGTACCTAGGAAAGAAGTTTGTTGTTCAAGTCCTGACTCTGGTTTAGATCTGTGAAAGTGGTGGGGAAAAATTCCTGTGGCTGCCAAAAGGCAGGATGGCTTCAAAATTTTGGTTTCATTGGTGATTTTCCCCACCCAAATCTACTTCTGATTTGGAGGTTAAAAATTTCAAGGGTACTTCCATTTTTCTGTTAGTACAATTTTGTGTTCAGAAAGTACATAGTGCTCAGAGCAAATACATAAGCTGCTCATAAACAGCTTTTAAGTTCAACTTGTATAATTACAAAAATGATTTCTTCGTTTTTCAGGTTTCTGTACTTGGAACAATCTCCAAATGTGTCCGCTATCTGAAGAGTAAGGCAGCAAAAGTAATTGCTCTCTGAACATATGGTTCTTTTGCAGGTTGCATGCCTCATACGGGTTCCATCTGAGGTTGTCAAGCAAAGGGCCCAGGTTTCTCCTTCCTCGAGTACCCTCCGGATTCTGTCCCACACCTTGTATCATGAGGTGAGTTCAGAGCAAAATTTCAAAGAAGTTGCTTCATTCTTCCCAGTCAGTGCCATACATGTCCGGAAGCATTCCTACAACTTTATTCCAGTTCTGTGCTCTTCTAGTGCTTTCCTGTCTGTTGTTAGAAGCAATGGGCATGTTGTGTTTAAGGAAACCAAACCCCCACCTCCCTCGTGTGCATGCACTTGTATGCACAATCTAAACAACTCTTTTTCTTCCTCTTTTTATATGGGGTACCTACATTAAAAAAAAAAAAAGAGGTATTTAACTTTCCAGTTTCCAAAGCTCTGCTTGTAAACAGTCCTTGTCTGGGACAACAGAACATTGACTCTCTGTATCTAGAGTTTGCCGAGTGGTTTCCAGTTTTTGAAGCAGGCTTTGGAGGGCATGTCCTAAAGGCACCATTTCAGAGAGGCTCTGTAAGAGCTCTGGAAACGTGCTTATCCAGTATTGGTAACTTTTGAAAAATAAGAGCTTTTGTCATCTTTTCAGTATGACAGTAGTATTTCAGTAGTTATACTGTTCCTTCCTGTAAAAACCTGTTTGCCACTGTTTTTACTGAGTCTCACAAGGGGCGTTTTTCAAGTTGTATTCCATAAGAGAAAGTGGCTCCTGAAAACACTGTGGGGAAAAATGTTACACGCATTTCCGTGTGTAAAAGCCAGGAAAATGAAGACACAAATACGACCTTTAAATGATCCACTTGATTTTTATTTGCTTGTAAATGAAAACTATTGTGATAATCCTGCACAAGAGGGTCACTGGAACTTCTTTTTGTGACTTGGTCATTCTGCTCTAAAAGTTGGTGCTCTCAAAACTGTACGTTTTTCCCCTTCTTTGTAGCTGGCCAGAGAACCGTAAGACTGGCTAAACAGTGAAATAAACTGTCCTATAAGATATTAAACATAATTTTATATACACTGATAAAATAAAATGTTAATTGTTTTGAATGTTATCAGCTGGTTAAAAATACAAAATATTTGTCTTGATAAAAGCTCTGAATCAAGGCTAAGAAGGTGGACATAGGAAGCTCTCATCCTTTGGGTTCATTTTGCATGGGCTATTTAAACAGAAGAGTAGTAGTTTCAAAATATTTATGGGATAGTGGATACTTCTACACCAAAATACTGGGCAAGTAGAGTTTGAAGTAATGTGTTTCTGTGCCTTCTTGCCCTTTTAATTTTAACTGTAAGGTATTTTTTCTTCTCTGTAACTTATTATTCTGAACAGTGGTTAAATGATCTTTGAAATGAGCATAAAACCCTCTGGCATTGTAAATCATGGAATACAGTATACAGTGTTATAATCAATATAGTCAATTTGCAGGAAGTTCAGGTCTGACACTCAGTAAGGCTGTAACGCTTGCCTCGTAGTCACTGATAAATTGTGGTCTTTGGCAAACTAATTCCATATAGCTGATGCTTTCTTTTGTTGGTTTACAGGGTATTCAAGGACTTTATCGGGGTTATAAAAGCACAGTATTAAGAGAGGTAAAACACTTGTCTTTCTCTTTTTTTCTAAAATTGATTCTTTTGCCTCACTTTGTTTTCTAAGAAGAGAGAGTAGTACAATTGAGATCAATTGCTGTAACAGTAAGCTCTAAATCCTACTGTATTTCATTCTAGATAAGTTACTAGTCTGTGATTTAAATAGAATACTGATAATGTGCACTAAGAAAACCTGTGGTACGTGCAAAAAGTCATCTACCATCCTGTCTCTCAGTTCTGTTGCTGCTAAATTGTAAAAGGATGGAAATGTATAAGTTGACATGATGAAAACCATAAAATAAAGTACTGGAAACTTCCTCAAGTCTTGTGATTGCATCATGTGAAGTATGTATGCCAACAATGGTGAACTGGTGGCATCAGGCCAAGTTTGGCACAGACGGATTTAGGCTTTCTTTAAATATATTTGTCAGCAGATGCCAAGAGATTATCTGTCATCTGTATATAGGGAGAATTGTGCTCCCTGGTTTGTTTTTTTTTAAATGCGTGAAAGAAATACATTTAGTCATCCAGTCTGTAGATGCGATATGGCATTACTTAACTCTAAATCAGAAGTACTTCACTGTTGGAAAAAAACTGGAGCTAAAAATATTTTGGCCTGCTTGGCAGAAAATAGTTCCTAAACTAAAATCTCTTCATAAATGTACTGTGAATTACAGGTTTAGTGTCATGGAAGTGTTTGATATGGTGTATGAACTAAAGGCAGATTATAAAAGAAGTAGAAAAACATACTGATGATTTCCCAGTCTAAAACTGTTTCAGAATCAGATCCCAGGAGGTCATCTTTTGACAAAGCAGAAGTTGCACCATGAGCACCTCAAATAAAGAGATGAGGCTCAATTCCTATGAAAACATAACAGCTGTTGTCCAGGAACGGTTCTTTACTTACTGTGTTCAGTGTGGTACATGTGGATTTGTCCTCTCCTTATATAACTCAACCGAGTAAACTAGGTTTGGATCTTTGCTTCTTTTGTTTTTTAAACACAGGATCAGATCTTTTGGCTGTGTTGCCATTCATAATAAAGCCAGTTGCAGAGGCTTTTTAAGCCTTCATTCAATAGCTCTGCTTTTAAAAGCCTTTCTTCATGCTGAAAACTGTTTTTAGGACAGTTATGTTAGCCAGGTCTTGTTACAGTTATGGAATAAAGATGGATATTACCTAAAATAAGAAATACCAAATTTAGTGTTCCTTAAAGTGCTGAAAAATGATAATGCACTGCAGTCTATTTTAGCAGTTTTGAGTGTTTAAAAAATTAGTTATTTGTGCAGAGATGACACCTGCTTTTCTGAAACGTAACCCCCCACCATAGCTTCGTCCTGTACTTATTTTCTGGCTCACTAAACACATGTTATTCACTCAGATTTCATTTGGAGACAGGCAAAAAAGGCGAACAAATTATTTTGATTTCTCTGAGGAATTCTGAATAAATGAATAAATTTAGATGCCATTGAATACAGATTTTGCATACTAACAGGTAGATAAAACACATGGTTACTACTGGGTGCTATTCTCCTTAAAATTAGTTTTGACATATGTCAGGGTGGTAATTAATTTGCAGACCATATTTATGGCATATCCTGTGACCCTGCTGAGATAACTTTGTTTACTCAAAATGGCAGCACTTTGTTGGAAATTTAATGGGGGTCCTCTCCATTATGTATATTCATAAAAGATCCCTCAGAACTGATTTCAGTTGAAGTATTGCTTTTTGGGAGAATCTGTCCAATAGAATGAGAAATAAATGATTACCAAATGAAATGTGCTTTCTCTTCAAAATGAAACAATCATAGGTAAATTTAGATGCCATTGAATACAGATTTTGCATACTAACAGGTAGATAAAACACATGGTTACTACTGGGTGCTATTCTCCTTAAAATTAGTTTTGACATATGTCAGGGTGGTAATTAATTTGCAGACCATATTTATGGCATATCCTGTGACCCTGCTGAGATAACTTTGTTTACTCAAAATGGCAGCACTTTGTTGGAAATTTAATGGGGGTCCTCTCCATTATGTATATTCATAAAAGATCCCTCAGAACTGATTTCAGTTGAAGTATTGCTTTTTGGGAGAATCTGTCCAATAGAATGAGAAATAAATGATTACCAAATGAAATGTGCTTTCTCTTCAAAATGAAACAAATCATAGGTGATGTTTTAAAAAAAAAAAAATCTGTTAAGACCGTTGCATTTTTCTGACACTAAATATTGTAAAGCAACGTCCGCTTGAGTAAGAACAGCATATTGAACCTTCAGCTGGAACTGTTGTAAGCCTGACATTTAATCTTGGTATTTTCCCTTCTCTTTAAGTACACTTCTTCCTTTAGGGAAGGTCTTTATTTTCAGATAAAAATCTATATTAATTCATTATTGGACACATCCAGGTAGCTGCATAGCATATATAGACTGGTATTTAATTACAGCTGACTTTTATACTTACAGAGTTTGTTTACATGCTTTGGTTCTTTACTTACACAAAACCTTTTGTTTAGTTACAGTGGAGTGGGATTTTTGGATAGAGGGGTTTCAATGCATGATTTTTCATTTAAAAAAAAAAAATAATTGGAAGAGTCTGGGAATATTGATGCTTTTCAGATGATGGTATTCTTGCACTAGCAAAAGTCTTGAACCAGAATTTAAGAAAGGTTAATTTTAGTTGTTGCATCAATATCTACATAAAGCAGATTTCAGTGCCTGGACAGAGATCTGCTTGCCAATTGCTTGGACTTAAGTGAAAATGAGTCTGATTGTTTATAAAGGGAGTGTAATGTTAAAACCTCGTCTTTTTACTGTAGCATAGTAGATCTTTTCAAGACACCCTTATTCTGCTCCGTGTAATTTGCACTAGCTCCTGTGCTGCTTCTGTTCTGATGCAGGGTAGTTGTTTCATCCTTCATTTTTGAGTCTCACTTTTTCACTTATCCCCTTTATCTTCTCATCAGAATACTTTCTGTACAGATGAATATTAGAAGAGAAAGAAGATGGCTAAATACGTAATGCTTTTGGAAACAACTTTGAGTGAACCTCAATGCTTGGAAGTTTTGGCTATGACTTTCACCTAACTCCTTTTTGGTGCCTTTCTCTCACATCTCCATTACATTTTGGTCTCTACATCTTCCTTTGATGTAGTTACACTGAACTAACCCTAAAATGGAAAGGGAAGTGAGGTACGCTGCATCATTCTGTTGGCAGTAGTAGCCCAAAAGAGACATCCATGCTCCAAGAGGAAAGCTTTTGTGATAAAGCACAAAGTGGGAGTATGGCTATTAGGTTGCTGAATGAGACTTTGAATAAATGGCAGAAATCAGAGGCTGTGAAACGATGTGGAATTCCCATGATGTCATTTCCAAAGCAAATCCAAGTGAGAATTGTCCTTTCCTATGGTTGTAGTGTACCAGTGTGCATCGGTGTGGAAACTGGATCATGCTACTAAGAACAGTCAATGAACAGGTAAATTTATTCATGTTTTCCACAATAGAGACAAGCTCATTTGTAAAATCTCCAGCCATCTTATAACAAGGCAGGAGCAGACTATAAATCCACTGTAAATCTTCTAGAATGTCTTAATGGGAATGTAGTTCTGCTGCTGAGATCTTATATAAGCAAATGGAGCCAGATTTTTAATTCCTGCATAATTCATTTTATTAACTATGACCAAGTAGAACATCTGTTAAAATTCCATAATGTTCAGTTCATGGGAAAAAGAGAGAAACCCTTGAGTTCCCGTTGGAGCTTTTCCATTAATGTTACAGGACTCTAGCAGATGTCTTAAAGGACATTGTTATGAATGAGAGGACAACACAAAAGAAAAGGAAGTGCCTTGTCCAGTTTCCCTGTGTACAATAGCTCACTGTACAGTGAGTTACTTCACCCTCTGCGTGTCTGTGTGCAGGTTGCAGCTTTGCACAAGCAGTGCCACGGTTAACCGTAGTGTCCCTTCTGTCTTGAGTTACCGTAGTTTGGAAGAACTGAGTCCTGAGTGGGTGTTCTGTGTGTTTTTAATCTGTCACTTTTTAAAATATTGCAGATGGACTGGGCCCTAGCCCAGAAGTAGATTCAAAAGGAGCTAAAATTAATATTAAAACTCTTCCTTAAAGACAAAGGGGATGGAGGATGACTGGCTCTTTATAATTCACAGATGTCTTGAAAGGAGACTGAGAATCACTTTCAGATGTCAGTCTTTGCTGTGCAGGTAGCCCTGAGTAAGCTTGTCCTCTGCGCTGCCTCTTAGACTTTTCTGAGACAATTCAGGCTGTCTGCTTGTGGTGGCTTCCATTCAGGTAGAGGTGGTAATGATGCTTTACTTGACAACGTTGTTTCAGAACTCATCTCAGAGCTCTGAATTTGAAGGAAAACTACTGATAAATCTGAACCCACTCTTGTACAGCATGCTATTGATCATACTTTCAGTGAGATAGCCTAGTCATCACTTTTGGGAGTCCTAGTTTTTTATGTTAGTACAGTTGTGGGTTGGTTTGGGATTTTTTGTTTGGTTTTTTCCCTTCAGTGTATGCAAGTCAGAGCCTTAAGTGGATAAAGGCAGCTACTGCTGTCTTGGGAGGGAGAAAGCACTCCATGCTATATTAATTTTGGGGAGGAGGACAGCTAGTTCAAAGTGTGCGGTTGCATTAATGAGTGGCAGCAGTGTGATAAATAGGCAACAAATTCAGGCTCTTCCCAATCTCAAAGCCAAGAAATAATAACGTCTCCTAAGGAGGAGGTACTGTTTGTTGTATGTATGCCACAGAACTAGTGTCCTGTTATAATGTGTGTATCAAAAGGGATATGGAGGGTACGCAGTGCAGCCTATGCAGATGAAGGAGCTAGCAGAAAAAAGACCAACAAAAAAATCCCTTCTTAAATGACTTAATACCTGGGAGAGGGAATCTAAAGCAACTAGCAGCAATATGGGCCTTACAGGCACACCTGCTGCATTTTCCTAAATTTAAAGGGTCAGTGAACAAAGGATGCTGAGAAGGGTTT